TGTCAATCCCCAGCTGTATGAGATGGTTATGAACTGCATGCTGCATGGACCGTGTGGAGACGCGAACCCTTCGTGTGCATGCATGAAGGGGAAAAATGTTTTCAAAGGGGTTTCCCAAATCTTTTTGCGACGTCACCCGGGCAAACGAGAACGGCTATCCAGTGTACAGACGCCATCGACGCCCAAGCGGGCGTCTTGAGCTCAACGGCAAAGTGTACGACAACTCTCAACCAGTGGGTTGTTCCATACGACCCATTCTTATCCCAGAGTACATCTGCCACATCAACGTGGAGGTGTGTACTGCCACGATGAGGCATCGCTACGCATGATTGTGAGCACGGAAGATCAGCTGAACGAGGGACAACTTCGCATTTACAACAAAGTTATTGATGCCGCCAACAACGCAGTCGGCTAGAAACTGTTTTTCATTGACGGCCCGGGAGGAACCGGAAAGTCTACACTGCTTCGAAACATTCTCGCTAGCGTCTGACTGAACGGGAAGATTGCTATTGCCGTCGCCTCCACCGGGATCGCGTCGTTGCTATTTTTGGGAGGTCGAACAGCACATTCGACGTTCAAGATCCCTATGAAGCTTACGGCCAGTTCAACTTGCAATATCAAGATCCGATCCCACGTGAAAGAGTTGATAAAGACGGCAAGTTTGGTCTTATGGGACGAGGCTCCTATGACACACGCTCGGTTAGTCTGCAACGCTATGTGCGAAGTTCACACTGCAGGCTTTTTGTGTGTGTACCATTTAGACAGGTACACTAGGATAACTCTTAGGCCGTGTTCGATCTAAGCTAAAACCAGCTGTAATTGTTATTAAAGAGCTGGAATGTCTCAACCAGCTTTATTCCACTAAGAAACACAAAAAATGACATCCAGCAGGATAGCTCCAAACGACTGGTTTCAAAATTTAGCTCTGGGTTGAATTTTGATTCGTCCTCCTTTGCCCCTTAAAACAGTGACAGTAGTTCTAAAACCAACGGATGGAGAAGCAGACGAAGAAACAAAGGGCGGCTTGGAGGCGTGTGGATGAAAAGGCGCTGCTTAAGTGCTACCTTGCAGCGCGCAGCGGTGCTTCCTTAAAAAGTCTCTGTGCTCAATAGCCGTGGTATAGGTTCCTTGAGCGCTATTTGCTTTTGAGTTGCCGCCTCCTGCATTTTAGCAAGCGCTTGGAGGAGCCACAGGTCATCGTCGTCGTCGTGGTCGCTGTCTACCATTTTTCCCTGGTGATTGGTCTTTTTTTTTGTCTACATGAGTATAATGGTTGGCGGTCGCAAATCCAGCCTTTTTCTGATGGAACACGATCACTTATTTTTATCTTTATTTTACTTAACAAAACGACTGTTCTACAGCTCTAGCTTATTTACAAACAAGCTGGATTTGCCCCTGCAAGCCGAACACGGCCTTAGATAGAAATAAAATGTTGAATCCCGGCGCTATTTCAAATTTTACAACCATATTGTCAATTCCGCCCCAATTTGCCGAAGCGGGACGATTCGGAGAAAGGCGCGAAGCGAACGGCGAATCGACGCTGCGTTGTTAGAGGTCAAAATTAAGAAAACATTTTTTATTATCCAATAAGATACCAGATACACGTTGAAATTATGCGACAGCGCATCTCGCACTGAAGACTCCGCGCACTTGTCATGAATGAAGATGGCGAGTCAGAGGATTATTCTGTATTAGCGCCAAAACGCATTCTGTATGATAGGCTACACGATTGGGTGCGCGATTGGGCTGGTCGTGTCTCTCAGACGCCCGCGGAAATTTCGAATAGAACGCACAATATTATGACACCCCACAATCGTCTTATCTGGCAATATTCGATGTTAATCCGTTTAGAATACTAACTACGTTGTTTCAATTTAAAGAGATTATTATCGCTACAAAAAAGAATGAATCCCAATACAAATGGCCCGTTTATTCTAATCATCAGCCGCTGGGTGTTGTGCCACACCCAGACCAACTAACATGCGCGGGTGCGAGCCGCATAGCCGTAGCAAGCCCGCGTGGTATTTCCGTAGGCGGGCCCGGAGCCGGACGAATTATTATAAGTCAGTAATAAGTACCGACATTTGGGGGAAGTAGATAAACTGATCAGTACTTGTCTTACGCATCAGTAGTATTTGCACCCATCAAATAATACTACTATCATATCGGTAATGGTTGGATGGTTTTACAGGAGCTATTTTTAACACTAGAGTAGCACTTACGTCCTTCATTTTAGGCTCTACCATCTTTGACCTATGGCCCTTGTCCTCCGCCCACCCCCTCGCGAAATTGATGGATCACCTCGCGCGCAAGAGAGGGTGCGGACCAAGGCGGTCGATCTTAAAAAAACCAAGATAAAATGAGGCCAGCCGACTTTCAAGTAAGATCCCACTCAATCAAGCGCGAACTGGATAAGGTGAGACTAGGGGAGTATGAGAATGAAGGATCCTTGTGAGCACGTGTAACTTACCTGCGCATTAAGTGCCAGTGCAGTCTGCCAGTCTCCATTGTCCCCCGTCTACAAGTCACCGTCCACTAACAGTGTCTGCAAGACACGTCCCAAGGACTCATGCGCCTAGCCGTGTAGTTGCGGCTGCACTACAACCGGCTACACTGCGTACCCGTGCGGCGATGGCGAAGGACTGTACCGAGGACTGTATGCACAAGGACATCGTTGGTTGTGCACTGCCAAGATTGTGTGTTCAACAAGATCGAATTTACTAGGTTAAGTATTGATCAATCTGGTGTTTGTATGCTATTCTACCTTTGCGGAACATCGTTGTTCTGGCGGATGCTGCTCCTTTACTTTGCGCTTTGACGTATGTCACTCACGAGAGAGCAGCAGCGATAGTTGCCCCACCAGACACCGCGGTCCTGTCGTGGCCTTTTGTCTGGCACATACCTGTTTATGCATTTCATTTGGATTATTTTCTAAAGTTGGCCTACAAGTGTATTTGCATCTACTTACACTTAGAAGCGGTCAACAAAAACAGGGCAATCCTCCCGTGATGATCCCTACGTCATCATTATCCTACGAATCGGACGACGGCGATATGGATGAATATCATCACTTATCGGACCTCACTTAAGGTAAGTATCAGCATTAATGGCCAATCATATATTATTTGTTTTGGATAACCAATCATATCCAAATAATACGTCAGTCTTGGCCAATCAATCCGTCAAGGGTTAGGTTGGTCATCTAAACTCCACATCGGACGCATTAGGTCCGAGGGGCCCGGAAAATATGTGTATCCCCTTACAAATATTAAGATGCCGGCGTATCACACGCATATTTTCATTTTATCCGACCGACGTAATCATTTCGGTACAAACGACTCCATTTGCGCTTTTAAAATTTGTTGTATTGATATCGTAGCAATTTCTCGAAAGCGCTTAAATGGCGACATGATGCATGGAATTAAGAGCCTCTGTGCTGACGAGATGCAGTAGCTACACTTGTAACTTCTAATAGCTTCCGTGAGGTGGTGCATTACGAATTCTTATTATTGTACCCGTTTTTAAATAGACATTGACAATTTGCATCAATTACTTGGACATGTTTTACATTATTTAGTGCTCGCTAGCTACACGCAACTACTGAGAGCATCGAGCTCTTCATCGACACGACCAGCAGCTGGGACAAGCATCTGGACTTGGTGCGTCGCCAGCGGGCTATCGGCCGGCAGCATGCTTCCCGCCCTGCCGGGTGGGGAAATAGATCTTGCGGGGTCTGCACGGGGCCTGACGGCGGCATCCTCGCTGCTGATAGCTGGATGACTCGACGATACCATCGAAGTCCGCCCTTCGGAGTGCCACCTGCAGGCACGCACCCAACGGGCAGCCTGCCGCCCGCCCTGCCGGGCAAGCCACCACAGCCCTTGAGGATCCGCCCGCTATTGCTGTCCCCTTCGCTCCTTCCGTCTTTGTTGTCCTTCCTGTCCTTGGTGTTGCCCCTCTTGTCGCCGCCGCCACCCTCCTGTCACACGTGCCGCCGCCGTCATCGCCCCTCGCCATCTCCCTCCCCGCCTTCTGTAAAATAATAATGTTTAGTGTGTGGGCCACAATATCTAATCCATAAACTAATAAATTGATTTTGAGGGGTTTTATTTAGCGTACCCTAGTTTTGGTACAGGTCCGATAAGGTCATCCGGTCCGATAAATTTTGGTATGGGCAACGAGTCTCTCGAGGATGACCTAGCAAAGCGAATATTTGGCTAGCCTAGCCTGGTCGCAAGTTCGGCGAGTCCAGCCTTGTGGGAAATAGTAAGAGCTATGTAGCAATTATAGAGCTAAATTATCTTGCTTCACATTATTACAACTTATTAATAAATATAAAAAAACGGTTTTGGCCCGAAACCAGTCAGATTCCTTCCAAATCAACCCGAAGCAAGTTAAAAAGAACTGAACCACGATTCTGATAATTACTCAGAACCCCTAAGAATCAGGAGCTGGGTTCTGAATTTTTTTGGGTTCGGACTTTTAAATGCGAAGGGACAAGAACCGCGTCTTTTCAGTAAGAATCATTGACATGCTCTCTTTTGCGAGCAGCTATTGGACAATTGCTATTTGAAACTGTGAGCCCAAGGGTTGAAGTTTCACATTTTGGGCTCTGCGACAAGACACGTGATCCTTAAGTATATCGGTAGTACTGGCTCATACCGAATCCGTCTGAAAATTAAAGGCGGTAATTGGTTCCTAACCGTAAAGTTCATTCAAGGCGTGACTAATAGTGACTCTCGCATAATTAAGCACCTCAGAGTAGTAATTTTGGAGGTTTTCGATTTTATTATAACGAGGAAGAGGTGAGAGGGGAATACTCACATATGTTTCTTAGGGCAAATTTGAAATTCGATGTTTTATTCCTATCGGCAGGTATTCCAAGGACTATGGATATGGATTACCGTACTACTGTTGTCGCATCGGCCATTAGGTTCTATACCATAGTGGTCCCAGCTACCGTCTCTGTGCAGACCGCCGGAGAAATTGGCACTGCATCAATGAGTGCGCCCAAGGCGGTGTTCGTGGCAGGTAGCGACGGCGCGTACGGATACGGGGGCGAAAGGACGCTGCGGGTCGACGATATGCGCTTGAACGAGTTCCCTCACATGCAAGGGAGCGTATACTTGGACCACGCAGGCGCAACGATGTACTCGAAGACACAGCTAGACGCAGCGTTCCAGGAGCTCCAAAGCGGATTGTTCGCCAACCCGCACAGCTCAATAGGTGACGTCCAGGTGGAGTCGACAAATGTCAAGATTGACAGCGTACGACGCCAAGTGTTAGCATTTTTCTCGGCGAGTGAGGAGGAGTACTCGCTGATCTTCACGTCGGGAGCGACTGCGGCGCTGAAGCTGGTTGGAGAGAGCTTCCCATGGACCAAGGAGAGCGTGTTTGCTTATTCCATGGATTCACACACGAGTGTGCTTGGGATTCGAGGTTATGCAGCAGCCAAAGGGTCGTCGATAAATTGCGTCGGGCTGAGCCAGCTTGAAGAAATGGAAAAAGACATTGCCGTGCGCAAGCAAGCCTCCGTTGGATCTACGTGCTATACTACAGAGACCAGTTCCATGAGTTTATTTGCCTTTCCCGCGGAGTGCAATTTTAGTGGGGTGCGGCATTCACTTGATCTTGTGGACCAAATACATGCTGGTCGTTGGAGCAATGCTCCAACCAAAAGCATTCCAATGACGAATTGGCTCGTGCTGGTTGATGCGGCCAAGTACGTGGCGACTCATCGACTTAATCTCTCAACGTATCACCCGGACTTCGTTGTACTTTCATTCTACAAGATTTTTGGTTATCCGACTGGGTTGGGCGCCTTAATCGTCCGAAAGGATGTGCTGTCACTGTTGAAAAGGGAATACCAAGGCGGGAACACAGTTCAGAGCATCTTGGCAGGTCGAAACTACACCGTACCGCGAAGACTCGACGGCAGCGGCGATGTAAGTGCACGTTTTGCTGATGGCACGCAGTCCTTCCTGTCGATACTTGCTCTACGTCACGGGATTGAACAAATAGAAAGGCTTGGCATGGCAAGTATTTCAGGTCACACAGCAGCACTACGGGCGCTGCTTGTTGGCAAGCTCATTGGCTTAAAGCACTGGAATGGACGCCCGGTGTGCGAGATTTACGGCAAGACGAATTCAGAACAACAGGGACCGATCGTCGCGTGCAACTACCTTCGCGCAGACGGTAGCTACGTCGGATACAGCGAAGTCTATAAGCTCACGGAAATTCACAATATTCACCTGCGGACAGGCTGCTTCTGCAATCCAGGAGCGTGTCAGCATTACCTCGGCTTGAAAGAGTCCGACTTGGTGTCGAATATTGCTGCAGGTCATGTGTGCGGAGATGGCATTGACGTGGTAAATGGTCTGCCCACTGGTGCTGTTCGCTTGTCTCTAGGATATATGACGACGTTTGAGGATATCGAAGCGTTTATGGCGTTCACGTCCAAGTACTTCGTGTGCAGGACGGCGCCAACAGAGGTGACCCCTAGTATGGTGTCGTCATCGTTAATCTCCTCAGTACCTGCATCCAAAGGCGTTCATCTCTGCAAGCTCACATTATTCCCAATCAAATCTTGCTCCGGTATGGTCGTCAACGCGTGGCCTGTTGGGTCGAGGGGTCTGCTATTTGATCGAGAATTCGCGATCGTGGATGTGTTCACGGGCAATGCTTTGACGTTGAAGACATTGCCAGAGCTGTGTTTCTTGCACCCCATCATCGACCTCGGACGCGAGACACTGACGATTTCGTATCGCAAACCCGACGGCTTGGAGTCCGAACGAACAATAACGATGCCGTCAACTTCCGAATCTCCTCCATCATTGTCGTTTACAATCGCCATGCATGCTAATATCTCCACGGCTAAACACCAAGATGAAGATAGTCTCAGCAGGCTGCGTGTTTGCACGGATAACTGTCAGGGGCGCGACGTCGGTACCGACGTCTCTCGATGGCTCAGCTTGTGCCTTGGTCGGCAATGCGCACTCGTGCGAGTGTCCATCAATCACCTTCGCGCGTCTCAAGCGAATCGACCTAAGATACATACCACCGCAAAGAAGCACCCTGAGGTCCAGGGTCCCGAAGCTTTGATTAGTGATGGCGCCCGTCCTGCGTCCATCGGGTTTGCTAACCAGGCCCAGTACCTGCTCATATCTCGCCAGAGCATCGCACACTTCAACGCGGTGCTCGGGTCTGTCGATAGTTCCATGAGCATCAATGAGGACGCGTTCCGTGCAAATCTGATCGTGGATGGATGCACCGAGTCCTTTGAGGAGGACAAATGGATGCACTTGCGTATTGGCAGCACCGACTTCGACGTCTCAGGCCCATGCCGCCGCTGTAGTGTCATCAACTTGGACCCGCACACAGGCGCGTTCCGCCGACAGCCTCTCCAGGTGTTATCCAGTTTCCGACGACAACTCAGCAGCATCTTCTTCGGCCAATTCCTCACTGGGACACCGCCAGCTGCTGGTGAGACCGTGTGGCTCCGTATCGGCGACCAAGTTGAAAAAAATTGCATAGGATAACGAAAGTTACATTAGATCGCCACAGTACGTGACGGCGAGTACTAAGTAGTAATATGGGGGTAGCCGGCAAATCTTTACAAAGCCGGAATGGACAATCAAGGCTTGCTATTATTTTACTTCAGTAAGTAGTAAAAAAATTTTTTGGCCAACCCTCTGACTATTTATTACAGTGGTCACGGTAATTACTCTAAGTTGATAAATAATCTCATACACTAAATATTCTCACTCAAGTTTTGTTGAGAATAATTCACGTGAACAAACTTTCTCAGAGTTCATTATTAATCTCAGTTGTGGATGATATCTTGTACTCACTATCAGGCTTGCTTATGGTGCAGTGGTCAATGATCGCCCTAGCCAATCGCTGCATTGTGAGTTCAAGCCAGTGCATCGGGTGTCAATCGACGCAAACTCACTTTGCACTTCACATACACCTCAACCTACCAACTCTCGCAACATGAGACATGTCTGACGCTTCACTGATGCCTTCCCAACGCTCGAGGAGCAAGTTCTCCCCGAAGCTATTGTCAATTACGCCCCAATTTGCCGAAGCGGGACGATTCGGAGAAAGGCGCGAAGCGAACGGCAAATCGACGCTGCCTTGTTAGAGGTCAAAATTAAGAAAACATTTTTTATTATCCAATAAGATACCAGATACACGTTGAAGTTAAAGTGACAGCGCATCTCGCACTGAAGACTCCGCGCACTTGTCATGAATGAAGATGGCGAGTCAGAGGATTATTCTATATTAGCGCCAAAACGCATTCTGTATGATAGGCTACACGATTGGGTGCCCGCGGAAATTTCGAATAGAACGCACAATATTAATTTAGTAATACGATCACGTTTTGATGCAGATATTAATTTTCCACAGTCGTAGCACAAGTTATTTATTTGCAGATTTCCGATCTACCATGGAGGTATCTATTCTCATTGGACGAAGAAACCCATACAAATTGTAATTTGAGGAACCCTGGTCGGTGGTGATGAGACGCCCGCTTGTTTAGAGGATGGCGTAAACAACAGCCGACATGAGCAGGGGCTAATGGTAACCAAATATCATATGATATTTTTGATAGTAGTAGTACTATTTTTGATATTAAATATTAATAGTAACTCATTTTTGCAAAAGTTAACATAATATTTTAATATTAACTCGGAGAGCTGAAAAATATTAGATACTACATGATATTTTATGATATTTTCCCACTTAAGTACGTTTCTTGCCACCTTACCCGTGGACCGAGCGGAGCCAAATAACTTTTTCGATCAGGTTCTAGAAAAGCAGTAGGCTTTAAGACTGACGTGACATGACTGCCTGCCTGATATGGATGAATCCTGTGGCGAAGGACAAGGATAAGAACTCGAGAAGGTGCAACAAGTTTCTCGAGAAGAAGAACATTTCAAACGTTTGAACAGTTTGAATGTTTGAACGTAGCAGTAGTTTAAACAGAGAGCGCCTTGCCGCTCATCCATAATTTAATTCACTTTCAATTCTTCCAACTCAAGCTCAAGTCGACCCACACAAGCGACCCTCTGCCAGCCAAGGCCGCTACACAAGTCCAAGTCGACTCAAGCCCGATCCGCGTGCCCTCTGCTAGCCAAGGCGCGTCATTTTGATATATCAAATTTGGAACGGATCAATCATTCAAGACCTTCCAAGATGGTGCGACAGTCTCACGACAAGAACGACTACGTCACCTACACTATCGTCACGAGCCCAGCGACTGAGCACGCTCCGGCCGACACCGCGAAGATCAACATCCCCAAGTTCTACGGCGGCAATGCCAAGGACTGGCTGCGATGGAGCATGCGCTTTAAGAGTCTAGCCCAGCAGAAAGAATGGAACGTCGAACAAGCCGCACTACAACTTCTCCTACTACTTGACGGTGAGATGAAGAACGATGTCGAAGATGCTGCGAGACAGGCGGCGCAGGAAGGATTCTCATTTTCCCAATTTTACGAGAATATCGGCCAGCAACTAGTCCCTCTCGACTACAGCGAGACCCTCGACGAAGAACTTTGGAACCTAACCAAGCGCTCGAACGAGTCAGTACAGCAAGTCTACAGACGGCTCAAGGAACTCGTGCGTATGTTCGCTGAATTACCAGTGAACGCTGAAAGTCTCCCCGAGGTACAGCAGTGCCGCTTCCTGAAGCGTGCCATGCCTCACGCGTGGCAAGACAAACTTGCCGCGTCTGGAATCGTCCACGAAAGAATGAGTGAGTTACTTCAGTACTTCGAGCGCATTGAAATGCGCGAGAAGTCCATCTCGAAGGACAAAAACAGCAATCAGCAGCAGAAGCCTTCTCGCTACTCCCAACCGAGCAAGTCTACCCACTTGGAGCGACACAAGAGCGGTAATGACAAGAACAAGCACGGGAACTCTGCTGCACCAACACAGAAAGGACAGGGTAAATGGTGCTCACACCATCAGACCTCATCCCACAACACCAGTGACTGCTTCGCACTCAAGAAGCAGCAACCAGCCGAACACAAACAAGCTGAAACTAAGAAGCCGTCCAAGTCGAAGAAGTACCCGAAGGTGTACAAAGCTGACAGTGAGTCCAGTGACGAGGATGAAGAGTTCAAGTTCATCGGTCTGGTAAATAAGAAGCCTTCTACCACAAAGGCGCCATTGCGCATTGACGTGCAGTTACGTGGCGAACACTCCACTATTGAAGCCCTCCTGGACAGTGGAGCATCGAAGAGTGTAATCAACGCGGCAGCTATGGAAGCTATCGCCAAGCACGGACGCAGACAAGTCGCGTCCAACACAACCTTTCAGACTGCAGGTGGTCCGGTCAAGAGTGACGGTAGCGCCATCGTGCAGTTCAAGTTCACCAAGCTCAACCCGTCGGTCAGAATTACCCACCGGTTTGAGGTCCTTGAGAGCAGCACAGACTCAATGGTCATTGGACGAGACCTGATGGAAGCACTGGGCATTGTGCTCAATTTCAAGGATAAAATCGTTCAATGGGATGGCTGCTCCACCGCGCTGAACACGGGCTCTCCGGTTACTGCGACGGCTTTGGATACGAATACCGACCCCGAGTTCCCCGACGAGTACAAGGAGACAAGCGACGATGCAGTCCAACCGACTGAGTTGATGCCTGACACGGTGTCTGGAGAATTGGCTGCACGCTACCTGCATCTCCTGCAGCAGTACGCGCATCTATACGATGGCCATCTTGGCAGAATGAAGTTCGACGACTACGTGCTACCTCTGTCTCCTGACTTTAAGCCCGTGCATGCAAAACCGTACGCGATTGCAAGGAGCATCGAAGCCAAAGCCAAGAAAGAAATCCAGCGATTGGTCAACCAAGACGTCCTCGAACAGATTTACGACTCGGAAATGGCCTCTCCAGCTTTCTTCATAGTCAAACCGAACGGTTCGTTACGGTTGCTGATCGACTTCCGACTACTGAGCAGGTACCTGCGCCGCAGCCCGTACTACGTGCCCAAGATCCGCGAAATTCTCATGCGCCTCGCAGGGGCGAAGTGCCTTTCATCATTTGATGCGAACATGGGTTACTACGCGCGTCGACTGGCCAAAGAAAGCCGGCCATACACAGCTTTCTGCTTGACATGGGGCAAGTTCCAGCACAAAAGACTCCCCATGGGCGTTGCAACCGCACCTGATGAGTATCAAGCGTCTATGGAGAAGATCTTTGGAGATCTCGAATTCGTTGTGGTTTATCTCGACGACATACTGGTGTTTTCTCGCAACGAGGAAGAACACTTGGAGCACCTTCGTGTGGTTTTCGAAAGGCTCAACAGATACCATGTCACCCTCAACGGCAAGAAATGCCACATCTTACGTGACTCCGTTGACTACCTAGGCTTTACGCTAACTGCTGAAGGCATTCAGCCGCAGGCCAAGAAAGTTCAAGCCATACAGCAAATCGCAGTGCCCAAGAACAGGAAGGAACTCCGTCGGTTCCTTGGAATGATAAATTATTATCGCGACATGGTACCTAACAAAGCTGCACTATGTGCTCCGCTCAACCGGTTTACCAGCAACAAGGTCCCGTTTACCTGGCTGCAGAGCGACACAGACGCGTTCAACGCTATCAAGAAGGCGTTTGCCGAAGCTGTACTCCTGGCGTTTCCAGATTTCGACCAACCCTTTCATGTGTACGCCGATGCCAGTGGAAAGCAGCTTGGAGGTATCATCATGCAGCAGAAATCCATTCTTGCCTGCTACTCTCGGTCACTGAACAAGTACCAGATCAACTACACAACGATGGAACTGGAATTGTTGTCCATCGTGTCTCTGCTTCGCGAGTATCGAACTATGTTACTTGGCTTCGAGGTCGTGGTCCACACCGATCACAAAAATTTAATCTACCCGACAGAGTCGAATTTGCGCGTGAAGCGCTGGAAGCTACTTCTTTCTGAGTACCGACTCAAACTACACTACATCCAGGGTTCCAAGAACATCGGTGCTGACGCGTTCTCACGTATGCAGTTCGACTCTAACCAACAGCAGACGCTTGACGAAGAGATCTACGCTGCGACTGACGAGCCTGAGTGCGTAATGCACGGCCCAGTCATCCGAGATCATAAAGAGAAAGATGAAACAATTCAGACGATCAAGTCTGCATGTCTTGCCGGAACCAACAATCCTGACTACAAGCTCATGCCTCTTCTTGGTTGTTCACTGGTCGCGTATCAGAAGCGAGTTGTTATTCCTGAATCGCTGCGCGAGGATCTCGTAAGCTGGTATCATCAGAACCTCGGACATCCTGGCCATGAGCGTCAATTCAAGACGATGCATCAAGTTCTCTACTGGCCCGGTATGGAGGCCTTTATCACAGCGTTCGTCAAGAAGTGTCTTGTGTGCAAGCGTGCAAAAGTACACGGTGGCAAGCAGGACTACGGACTATTGCCCCCACGAACGTTGAAGACAGCGAATCCATGGGATGTGGTACACGTTGACCTAATTGGTCCTTACGACGACGGTGGTTATGGCATCACAATGATCGACCACGCCACACGCT